GGGCAGCGTCAAGTCGGGCTCATACAGCACCTACATCACTGGTTTTTGTAATCTCCTCAGCATCTGCTAACAGTAAAGAGAAGTCGGTGTGCATGAGAAAGCGAAAAAGGCAACACCATAGCTCCTTTAATGCTACAAATCAGAAACAGGAAGGTTAGAAAAATTCGTTTATTTTATTTGGTGATTCACTGTCGAAGCGTAAGATTCAGAGTGGATTCTGAATTGGGATAAACAGTTCCAGAAGTTTAGATACGCGCCTTGCCCACTTAATCCAAATAGAAAGCAATTTATGTGGGTAAGAAATGGTTCTACTATTAATAAAAAAATACGGATAATTACCTGATTAACATTACAATGTTTTCCGACAAAAATAACACATTGTGCTTCCAATTCAGGAAGAATGCTCCCGTATAGGTTCATGATTGCACCCTCTTAGTCCAGATGCACGTATTACCTGCCAAATAATCAAACCCGATATGGCTGTAGCCATAATTAAGTATCGTTTTAAACAACAAATGCAGTTCAGAAGGAAACACAGAAACTGCAATAAAGGTGCAAAAATAGAAACTATAACAAATTACCTATATTAACATCACAAAATGGGATTAAACAGAGTGCCAAAATATTGAACAGAAAGAGTTAGTAAGAACACATTACGAATATATACATGGAGGTATTTTCCCAAAGCAAAGCCTTCAAAATTGATTCTGCAGAGGGGTAGCTCACTAGAAGGCAAGGATATCTGTAATCAGTAGCAATGGGATAAGTACTACGCGGTTCTCGGAATGAGCAACACACAGGCAAAACTATGCCGTCTGTTTAAATGTCAAAATATACCAAAAGTTTAACTCCTCCATTAATGATAACTTTGGATTGAGAACAGGTTGCCGAAGACATTCTTCTAATTCCTTAGGGACCATCGATTAACCCCTCCTCCCTAACCCATGTCAGGCACAAAACGCGGTGGTTAGTACGGGCAGTACCAGAACATTAATAAATACCCATGAACAAACCACATCGGTTATTCACAGAGTTCCGGATATGGTTACTGCTAGCTGGAATGATGTCACTTGATAGCCCTGAACTTCAAAAGCCGGTAAGATATAAGTGAGACACCTCATGCTTGTTACAGTGCAAAGAACGATCTCTATAGTCACATTAGTTGCCGTGAGAGGGGACTTAGACTAATGAGACAAGCAGAAAGGCTAAATACAGCACCCATGTGTCGGTCTATCTCGATCGACAAGACGCACTGCTCACGGTCTCTTTAAATGAATAAACTATACAGGCAAAATCCGCAGCGGCCAGTTCACACGGAATTGGTCAAACCGGATCCATCAGCCTGTATGGTAATCCGAGAACGGTTGTTGCTGATGAGATGCAACAGGTGATGGGAAAAATCATCAAGAGCCTTTATAGTAACATAAGAGGATTGATGGGTACAGTGGAAGGGATCAGAAACACCAGTTCTCAGACGTGTCTGAAGATCGTAATCCTTATGAAACATAGCTATCTCCCGACACTGCACACAACAAAATGAGCTTGTAAGGCGGGACACTTTTCCAATGTGATAGGGTACACAAAACAGGTCGAGTGCTGGTATAGATAGTAACGAACATTTCGATACCATAATATCACTCAGTATCCAACTAACCAATGAGACAGAAGCATGTTGATATTACCACAGGTTGGTTCCTCAGGCTAGTTGTCACGTCCATTAAAAGTTCCAAACTGCCCGAACATCTATGCAACGCCACTAGCTGGACTAAGGATGGGAAATCCTCAAACTTGGATTATTTGTCGAAAAATGATCGACTTTTGGTCCTGAATTTCGATGTCCACACAGCGCTAGGAATTATTGATCATGGTGTAGTCATGTTTAACGTTGTCTCAAACGTAATACTCTGGAGGGATGAAAAAGCGTCTTACTTCGCCAAGGCAAACTACACGACCATGGCGAAGGATCTTATACACACCTCACGGTCGCGAGAATGATCGAGGCTAACAGTAGATGATCATAGGGGAATAGTGAGTTTATCACTCAGAACACTGATCTACACAATGTATCACAGGCGAATCGCACACCAGGAGAGAGAAGAACATGAATGGGGCGAGGCACTGAACACTTGCTAGGTGCAGGAACGGGAGCCTGGCACAAGGGTAAAGCTCCTCTGAATGATTTCGATTGTAGTTTTCACTTGACATTGAGAAACAGATACAGTACGAGGGTTCGAAGTGACTGGAGAAACTTTCAGACAAAGCTAGCAGACAAAATATCAGTTTTGGTTCATGACCAAAATAGAACCTTTATATGTTATTGCACTTAAACGTCCAAATGGAGATCTTAAAAGCTTGCTAATAACTTTGAACTTTATCGCCAACTTCGGCGACCAGTTAAAATAAATATCTGCACAGGCAAATAACTGATCAACTCTAGTGCCTGCTGATGAACTGGGGAATTTCCGGCTTACTCTTGGTCTGGTACTGGGGAAAATCAAATCCCTGCACACAGAGAAGTCGCCAACATGTGACAGTATTTGCTTTATAATCTTAAAACTTTGGGCATAAGCTCTCAGTTAAGCGGCATGTGACCCATTAAGGCATTTACTTGAGCCACACAAGCTTCCATCTAAATGAAGTCAAGTTACTCCCTTAAGTCTTCAAAAGAACAAGCACGATCCTCTGTTCCTACCACGTGTAAACTTAACTGAGAAGTTTCGGTAGACGCGAAAACCCTACATACCTGGGCAGCATCACTGTGAAGCATGGTGGATCTGATGCACGTATGAAGGTACAGATCGACAAAAAGGGGCAGCACTTATACTACTGAATAAGATCTGGAACTCAAAACAACTGCCAACCAACACCAAAGTCAGAATTCTCAATTCAAATGTAAAGACAGTTCTACCAAATGGAGCGGAAACTTAGAGAACTATTCGCTGTTTTATACAATTACTTTGAGACAGTTACTTCATAATTGTTGCCTATCATACTGTCACAAACTGTATGCTTAAAAAATAGTGATCACTACTATACCACGAAAATTGACAAATGGGCTATATTTCTAAGTCCTCGAACAATATTTAATCCACTATCGCCGTCGACATATCTGCGCAGTTTGGCGTCAATTCACTGAATTACGTGAAAGAGAAACAATTTGGGTCAGACATATCAGTACTTTCTACAAACTGTACGAAGAAACTACTAGATTCAATGTGAAGAATATGATGCCGAAAATCTGTGAATATGTATGTATTGGAGTATTTGTAAGCTCATCCCACACCATCCTTTGTGTTCAGTGTATTACAACGAAATGGAATATCTTGGTATTTTTATTCAAAAGGCCGGAGTTTATAGGCAATGTGCTTTTCAATTCAAGGACAAGTTGAGATATATGGACAATTCACTGAAGTTCTTTGCACCTACTCAAATTACAAAACCAGTGGGGAAAGGTTACAGAGTTATAACATAGATATAACTGTAGTATCTGAAAATTCTGCCTAAATACGAATTATTGCGTTGATTTTTACAACTGCGATCGCTCCCGGGATTACTTGTAGTTGACTGCATACAAAAGTGGCGTTTTCAGCGTTGCCGCCATATTGGAATTGTTGACAACTTCTGGTTTTCACAAAATCAGACTCCGCTTGTTTGATAATTGTGTTCAAACAACTCTCTCAGGTGTGTCACATGAATAAAGTTAAGCAATCAAAAACTCTGTAGTTACCTATGACCACCTCTAAATGCTTCCTCTCACTCTAGTTTATTTCTTGTCAGAAGAAGTAAGTCTTGTTGAAGGAACATTCAAACTTACAGTGCTGCGACTTTCTGGCCATCTTTGTGTGCACATAAATTAAGTTTGGATTCTCTATAACATTCTAGGAAATGCTAAATACCAGTAGATTCTAAATCAAATTAACATTAAATTAAACTGTTGGGTTGGGAACTGATCACGAAGTTTAGAAATATGAAGCATGTAGATTCCATAGAGTTTCTCAGCGAAAGAGATATGTAAACCTGAAAATTCAGCAAGTTTAGTAAACCTATTAGGGATGCGGAGTAATTACCCTACCAAATGTCGGAGAGTCCATCAAACGTTTTCAGAAAAATGATGGCCAACAAGAAATTATCAAGTGGATACCATGAACGAATGTGTGTCATTTCTCACTTCAACCTGTAGATTTCATGGATATTCGGGGTTTCACAACGCTTTCATCCACAGAGCCTTTCAGGTCGTTGGAATTAAACCCAGTCAAACCGGAAGTAGAGAATGAAGACCGAAGGTGAATCTGAAAGATAGTTGTGATATCGAGAAGTATAATAGTCAAGTTGAAAAGTTGCAGACAGAGATGCATTGCTTGGCGTATTCCATGGTGATCTGGTGCGGATACGTAATCTAGTGTCCTCAACAAGAATGAGCCCAGTAAAACTAGGGAGGTCAGTTTCAATCTAGAATACTCAAAGAATTATTGGTTTTTGGAAATTGTTCACCTACATATGCCTTGGTAACTTTTTCGTGCTGATATATACAGTTACCCATTGGGATTATTGTGCGTATTTATCACTACCAGTCATTTTGTAAGTCAGTCGCCTGTTTATATTCATAAGGCAGGTATCGAATGACCATAAGTTGTATGCCAGGATTTCCCACAACTACTGTTCTACTGTAGATCCAGATGAACCACAAAGAAAAATTACGTTGCTGATCCAAAACTTCATTTGGAAAAAAACAGTCAAAACAGTATGTAAAATGAGTTTTAAACGCTTTTAAAATTCGTCTGGTGGAACTAAAACTCATCCCGTTCAGTGCAGAGAGACGAATGTATACATAATAGTGGTGTATTACTTCTCCTATAGTTCTTTCCACTTCGACAGGTTACTAGCATATTCCTTTAATAAACTGACTGAAGAAGGACTTCAGTATAGAAAAAGAAGAACAGAAAGGGAGATATATGTGAACTTTTCGAGATAAGAATCCATTTGCTGAAGTAACCATCAAAGGGATCACCGCGCTGTACGAATATTGCCGGTGTGGCGCGTATGATAACTTTTCTCGTGAGAAGTAGGTGTCTGTCGTGTTTCAACATTCTTCCTTGTTCTACTTACAAAATGTCGGCTGCTGCGGTAGAAAATAGTAAACTGTAGGTTATGTCATGTAATTTATGTTATTCGAATTTCTGGTAGCATGTCACAACAGAATGAGGTTCTCAAGAAAAATGATGCGATGAAAGAGGACTCAATTGACGCCACAGTAAGATGATGTTAAAGAATACTTTTATTCCAGAGTTACCATGAAATGCGAAAAAATGCAATTTCGGAGCTCAAAAAGATTCAGAAAAATCCATATCCACACAAATTCCACTCATCTATCTCACTTGCTGAGTTCATTCAAAAATATTCATCCTTAAGTCCTGGAGAGCATTTGGATGATATTTCGGTCAGTTTAACAGGTGAGTTCCGATCATTTGTTTGATTTAACTTGTAGGACGTGTTCATGCAAAGCGTTCGGCTGGATCCAAACTAATTTTCTATGACATCCGATCAGAAGACTGTCGGTTGCAAGTCATGGCAAATATTCGTTTCTACAAGTCAGAAACTGAGTTCCATGACATAAATGAAGTGATTCATCTGGGTGATATCATTGGCTGTGTCGGTTCACCAGGTACTAACATAATATGTAAGTAATAATGTTTTAGGTAAATCCAAACTTGGTGAATTAAGCATCATACCTCACGAAATCAAACTTCTGTCTCCGTGTTTATATCAACTTCCACACATGCATTATGGTGTTAAAGACAAAGAAACCCGTTTCCGTCAACGCTATTTGGATCTCCTCATGAATGAGGATGTACGACAACGTTTCATAACACGGGCTCGCATAGTTAATTACGTCCGTAGGTTCTTAGATGATCTTGGATTTTTAGAGGTAATTAACTATAACTATTTCTTCATATTGCGTGAATATTACTATTGTTAAACGAAATTCCCCCAACTGTTAAATCCAAAGACTGCCTTTCATTTTCAGAAAATGAATCCTTCCTGGTGTTCTGTATTTTAGAGCACAACCGAAAACCGCCAGTACATTCTAAAGAATGTTTGTGTTAATGACTCGGTAAATTTAGTATCAAAACTGAAAAAGTAGTCTATCAATTTAGCCTACAATGGTTCTTAAAGTCACCTAAATTTTCTTAATCCCAATAATAAATACTTCAAGCTTCAAAAATCTAGATTTAATGATTAATAGTCTGTGTTTTTATCTACTTGTTGTCAGTTTGTTGCACCACATTAACATAAACGTACATCAGCTATCAGTTCACCTACTGGAACTACTTTCTACCTATTTCAGTCGATGTCGAGATAATATAATGAACAAAGCCGGGAAGTACGTAAACATGTAACTACGTTATGTTTTACTATTGATACAAACTACACATCTTATAAAGAATGCGCGTGATCATACATAGCATCATTAGTTTATTTACTGTTTTGGTAAATTATTTTAGAAATTTCAGAATAGCTCGCTAGGTACTTGGGTATGAATGAAAGTTGGTATAAGAGCTAATGATGCTATCCGGTCGCTCATTCTGAAGTTGGTGTAGTGAAGTTTAAACCAGAAAGTCATTGTCTAAAATCAGAATGCCCTAACCATTGAGTCATTAAGTCGTTTTTACAAAATAAAGAATAATAATCATTACGGAAACATAAATTTCTGAAATTTTCTGCTACAATATGGTGGATTTGCATGTAGTTTAGTATACGATTTAAATACCCTCCACCCTTAACAGCCACCTAAACTAATTTTTTAGGTTGAAACTCCTATGATGAACTCGATTGCTGGTGGAGCTGCAGCAAAGCCGTTTATCACTTATCATAACGATTTAAATTTGAATTTGTATATGCGCGTCGCACCAGAACTTTACTTAAAAATGCTTGTTATTGGAGGGCTCAATCGTGTCTATGAACTTGGTCGTGTGTTCAGGAATGAAGGTATTGACTTAACTCATAATCCAGAGTTTACTTCATGTGAATTCTATATGGCGTATGCAGATTATGAAGATCTCATGACCATTACTGAAGACTTGATATCCGGTAAGAAATCAACAGGTTTAGTCTACCTGAGTTATTTTCATTAATTAATGCAACGTGTATTTTTTAGTTTCAGTGTCCTACCAATTTCAACAAAAAATTTATATGTATACCCGTAACAGCTCGGGAGACTAAACTGGTCAAAATCAAATCCTTCCTACACCCCCTAATATCTCTCTTTTCTCCACGACTAACTCAACTCATATTCTTTTATCTCACTGCACCGCTAATGCAAACGAAGCGAGTTCACGAAACGTCATTCCTGGTCTCCCGAAACCCCATTCTATACTACATGTTGGGGCTTTTAATATACGGACACTGTGTCTAATAGGGCAACAGGCTTCCTTAGCTAAGACATTAGAATCTCGCTCAATCGATGTATGCTGCGTCTTGAAAACGCGCATATGGGATCCTAGTCAGTCAGTCAGTCAGATGCAACGTAGAACTTCGTACGTAAGTACATCAGTTCATGTTGCCATACCACATCAGCACAGAGATATAATTGTCAATTAAAATCCGATAGTAGAAGAGGTAGTAAAGGTATTAGAAGTAATCGGAGAGGTTAGAATTAGAAGATACTATTCAAGAAGTATGATTCAGTGAGAAAAGTTTAGAAAGACAAAACTAGAGGCGTTGAAGAATCTAGAAGATTAGGATTTGAGAGAACACAAAGAATAAAGGCACCGGCGCCATTGCAAACGATTTTGAGCCATGTCATCCAAGGTCTCTAACCATCGATTATTATCACCTCGCGGACCCCAACCAGGTAGTCGACAATTACCGACATGGCTAAGTCCACTCGTCAATGACTTCATGGATTTCTGCCATGTTTTGGTTTGGCCGCCCCTAGCTTTTTTCCAAACTATTCCTACACTACAAAACAAAGCTCGTCGAGGCAGTCGGTGGTTAGGCATACGTAACACATGTCCCAACCACCTCAACTGATGAAGTTTCATTACTTCATGTATTGATCTGCCATTCTTACCTAGCACCTGCTTCCTAATAACGGCGTTGCTTACTCGGTTGTCCCAGGATATACGAGCAATGCTTCGAAATCACCTATGATCGAATACCAGTAACCTACGAATATCTTCTACTCTCACTGTCCATGTTTCACAGCCATATAGGAGAACGGAGCGAACTACTGCGCAGTACACTCGTCCTTTAGTCAGCAAACGGATATCTCGCCTACGCCATAAGTGACGCAGGTTGGCAAAAGCCAATCGAGCCTTCTGTATCCGAGCTGAGATTTCGACAGTCACCAGGCCATCAGCACTGATGAGACTCCTCAGATACGTGATGCAGTGTACACGCTCGACTACTTCACTCCCTATCACTAGTTCAGGTACAAATTCAAGCCAATCTTGAAGCAACATTTTTCATTTCGAGGGGAAAACCGAATCCCAAACATGCTTGCAATGTTGTCCAGGGTTGTCAGAAGACTGCATTTTGTCCGCAGCTGACGTAATTTGGCGTTTTGTATCCGTACCGAGATTTCGCCTGAACCAGGTCAGGAGCACTGATAGGACTTCCAAGATAAGTAAGTTGGTTTACATGCCCAACTAATTCACCCCCTGTCACTAATTCCGGAGCCGGTGCGACCAATCCTGAAATAACTTCGTTTCGAAGGAAAAAATCGCATCCAGAACATCTTTGTATTGTTGCTAGGGTTGTCAAAAGACTGCATTTTGTCAGTGTCTTCTCCAAGTAGGACTATGTCGTTATTATCTACGTCAACAAGTGACTCTCTTGATAGAAGGTCAACTTCTGAGAAGTCAGACGATGAAAATGTATCTAAAAGCATTTCAAAGACAAAGTTGAATGGGAATGGAGAAAGCGATTAGCCCTGACGAACACCACTCGAGGTAATCAATTCCAATGACAGTTCGCTATGAGCTCTGACTCGAACAGTGATGTTTGGAAGGCGTGTACAAGTTTAATGTACGTGTTCGGTGTACCTTTCAAAGACAGACCTTACGATCAACACAGTCAAACGCCACCTTAAGGTCAAGGTATACAACGATTATCGGACGTTGAAATGTGTCTGTGTTATAGGACCTAATGAGGTGTAAATAACATCCATACTCTGATCTGAAACCGGCCCGGTTTACTCAGATTCGCTCTTCACAAGCTCTAGTTAGATGTTGAAATATTTCTGAAACTAATATTGTAGACCCAATTAATTAGCTTTAACTAATTAATATCTTTGCTAAATTTGGATAGTGTAGTGAAATGAGGAGACGAAAATTATCAGGACTATGTGATATATAAGCGCAATACATTTTCAGCAATCTGATCACACGCATGTACTTTTTAAGAACATTTATTTATGAAAATATAAGGTCAACTAGACAAATGGAGTGTAAGACTCAAAAAAGGAAATTAATGTGAAACTCACCACTCTGTATAATACTGCCAAGGTAGGTATTAAGGTGAGAACACTCTGATTTTAACAACATAAAGGAGGTTTAAACTTTCCTATGATCAAGTCTTCAATAGACCTTAGTAAACCTTCTTAAATACTTATACAACACAAAAGTTGAACTAAAATCAGTCTTATGATCTGTCTCAACACTGTATTTATCAATAAAAGACGATGAATATTTATCACCTACTCATATCGAGTCATTTGATTTCATTTGTTTTTGCAGTCATTTAGGTACATGTTCAGGAACCCTAGTTTGCAAATCACGATTACTCCTCTACATTCATTTGCGACCACGCGCATTTAGATTTATAAACGCCATGTAATGTGATATAATCGCATATATTCTTTTTAAGTTTTTTTGATGATCTCTTCTGCGTAGCATGTTTTCATGATAACAGATTCGAGACTTTGTTTCATTATAAGGCTATTTGACTCATCCCGGAACGGTAGATTGATACAAACAGGCATTTTCGGTGCTAAAGATTCAAAAGGTGTGACTGTAATTTGAATTTTTCATTGATTTATGAATTTTTAAGGGTAGCTATTCTCCATCAATGTTTTCTCCAACAACCTCACTTCATTTTCAGTAGCATCATTTGTACAAATATGATCAATCTTAACAAACAGCTCCTTTATCAAACCCCGTTTGTAGTAGATTGGTAAGTAACTGACCTGTCCAAGTTGAATTTCAAAAATGGTCTGTATGATTGAATCGTCTTCTCATCTATTTATGTGTCTGTCAAGAAAACAAGGCTGATTGTTCGCCTTCTCTTCACACAAAAGATTGATGTGGTTTTTGAGGGCGTTAAGTATACTCAATAAACGATTCATATTCTCCTTTTTACTACAGATAACTAAGATATCATCCACATACCTCTCATAAAGTTACGTATTTTCAGTTTGGTCTTCGGCTAAATTTTATACATGTTCCAGAAACACTGCTAATAGTGGTCCTATTGAACTACCTATGGTAACTCCATAGATCTGGCGAAAGTATTCACTTTCAAAGGTGTACTGGACTTTTTCAGTGCATAATAATAACAAATTTAAAGGAATATATAGTTTAAGGTTGTTCAAAATCACATAAAATATCAATATTCCTTTTTGAAATACAATTTTGAACAGGAAATTAATGTCAAAAGAATGCGTTATTTTTTCATTAACATAATTATCGCCGATGCAATCGACCAACTCAAAAGAATCCTTCAGAGAATACTTACATAAGCGCCTTCCAATAGGATATAACAGTTCCGTCGATCATTTAGCCCGGGTTATGTGCAAGTGATCAACACTTTGATAAAATTGGACGTAAAGGAATGTTTAATGTATGGATTTTAGGCAATCCATATCAATGAGAATATTTCAGAACCCGTATGTTTTAAAAATTTAAATCCCTATTTAAATTTCTGTTTAGCAGTTTCACTAGGTTTAAGCTTATTCTTCCCTCTAGTTTACTAATACCATCAATTTCAACGTCAGGCATAAATTTATTTTCATCAATCAAGATGGATAATGTCTTTCATTTATAATAACCACACCAGATCCTTTATCAGGCTTCAACATGATAATATCATAGTTTGTTCGTAGTTCTTCAGTGATATGAAACGCTGAGAATTTAATATGCTTCTCTGCTTTCAGCGATTGAAACCAGTTAGATGGGATAACTTTTAGTTCCTAGATGTTAGCTAAGATCTCGCCTAGCCTAACTTCTAAAACTAGACAGCTATTCTTAAAATTCTCAGGAGTGATCCATCAGGTCCTGCTGCTCTCCATCACTTTTTCCGAGAGAGCCTCGCAAAAAACTTGATTTCTAATACCGGTTTCCGTGATAAATCTGAATAGTTATCTACTAATACCTATTGCCTCTGTCTTTTCTAGCTTTCTTGTTTTCGCTACAGATCACTGCTTTAAATCACTGCGTAGGCTTCCTATCAGCATGCGCTTAAGCTGACTCCGATCCTCATCATGGTCGGAGCCAGACGGGATGAGTTTCTGAACATCTATCAGTTCAATTGATGCCACTGGAATTCAATGCCTCTCCCTATCATTTTCGTTTCACATACTAGAAGGTATCACTGTGGTTTCCGCAGCTTTATGGATATCATTTTTTAGCTGACTCAGGTTGGGCATCATTTACGTGGCCGTCTAACTGTTTTTGTAGTTACTCTCGAAATGTACTCCTGGCTTATGTAATTGCTACCTACGAATAGTTATTATTCTAATACGAATAGAATTTGTTGTGAACTCGATATAATGTGGTAATAGACACAAATTTCCGACAATAGTCCTTAACAATGAACCCTGAAAGGAAGACAGTAGTGTAGACAGAAACTAGATATTTTCTAAGATAAAAGCAGGTTAAACAACTATCTTTGCATATAGAAATCAGGATAACTTTGAGATAGAAAACTGACAAACTAAAGATGTCAACAACTAGTCAAAAAATAAACCGTGTAAAAATTCAAATAAAAAAAAACTATACTCGTGGTTATCCTAACCTAGCAAAACTCACACATTCACAAAACGAAATAACCTGGAATTTTCTTATCAATAATCACAAGGCAATAACCACAACGCAAACCCACTTTTGTGAATTCATGTAACCTAAAACAACTATTTTCTCAATATTTCGTAACTTTTAAAAAAATAATTTGTCGGTTGATTAAAAAGGACCGAAAAATAGCTAGCTGATAATTAACTTGTCTTGCTTTTATTTATTGTTTTAGCAGTTGTTCTTGGCTAGTCGATTTAAACGAAATTCGATATAGTTTTAGACTTTGTTCGGTGCAGTTATGTAATCAGTAGTTGTTCTTGAAGATGTGGTTTATTGGATTCCATCAAGTTGGGCCATCACGAACCGAAAAAGGTTACTCAACATGAACTCACTCTCGAATAATGAGTTTTATAAATTTAAACTATTATTTTTGTCGTCACAACTCATTCGTCATCACCGTTTAGTTTGCTGTCTACAGTTTTGTAAAAAAAATAAGCCAGATAAAATTTAATTACTAAGTTATTAGGATTATGTTACAGACTTGAATGCATTAAAGTTGTAACTATGATTATCATTGAATATTCATTTCTGAAAGAAATCTACTCACAATTTACACTGTTATTCAACACATTTTAAACAGGTTTGGTTAAACATCTTTTCGGTTCTTACATGATTAAATATCATCCAGATGGAGAATCAGATGAGATCATTGTCGATTGTACTCCACCATTTAAACGTATCAATTTTTATGATGATTTAGCTGTTAAACTAAACACTAAACTGCCTCCTCCAGAAACATTCGATACGGAAGAGACTCGTCAGTTCTTTTTAAAAATTGCAGCTCAACATGGCGTTGATTGTCCAGAACCAAAAACTACAGCTCGATTGTTGGATAAAGTAAGTTGAATGTTTATACTTTTAATTTTGATATTGCATCATTATATTATAGCTAAGAGAATTTCAAATAGCATACTTAATTTTCTAAGCAATGCAACTGGGACTACTTTCTTTACTCCGTTACTATATCTTTTTAAATAATAATAATATATATTACGTCAAATAAAGACGAGTTCATTAGATGTTGCGTTTAGTATTTCACTATTCTTCTTGATGTTCATTATCTCACTTATTCAGTTGGCAATCATGTCCGCAGGTATAACATGTACTGTGCTTCTTCTAAGTGCAAATTACCTTTACATGACTGGCAAAACCCTGTTTCTGTACTCACTCTTGTTAGTGAGTAGTTAGAAGCAGTCGAGAAGTTCCTGTAACTGAGTAACTGTGTAAGCCTTAGTGACGGCTTGAGTGTTGAGATCTATTCACATATGGTGAAAGTCAGAGTGGCTTGCGCCAATGTGAGTCCTCGTGTTGTTAGTCTGTGTATTAGAGATTGGCTCTGCAATGCATCAGGAAGGGCAGTTTACGTCTATCTCTGTAAATTCTAGCCTCTTCAAGTTGTGGGTTTAAGACGATTATTTATGCTCGATTATCGTTATAATCTTTATAATCTGTATTATGGAACTACAAACAATACGTAAAACTGTATTGTATCCTATGTTTTTATCCGACTATCCAGTATCAAGAAGCTGTGATATGATATAAATAATGTAATCTACGAATTGTTATTAGTAACGCTTTATTTTGATAGTTTTGTATTCCTAGTGTATCATCATGTTCTTTTGCATCAATACGATCATAATATGCGAAGTTATGTCCTATTATTTTGATATTAAAGCCCTACATACACCTCCTAAAATAGCGATTTAATCATTTCAATACTAATTTTCATGACTTTCTCAAATATCGTGCTTTACAAATACATCCTGTATCAGTTCCATTCTCTTTTTGTTTCTATTTTAGTTGGCTGGCGAATTCCTGGAACCTTTATGTGTTAATCCAACTTTTCTTACTTGTCATCCATCTATAATGAGTCCTTTGGCTAAAGAACATAGATCTCGTCCGGGTCTGACAGAGCGCTTCGAATTGTTTATGCTACATAAAGAACTATGTAACGCATATACAGAACTAAATGATCCTGTTGTACAACGTGAAAGATTCATGGAACAGGCTAAAGTAGGTATTATATTTTGTTGTTTTCACAACTAGTGTTTTCACTACTTCATTCATCTCATAGATATATTAGTATTTTGGTCAAAAATTTAAATGCATTATAATTGCTCTTATTGTTTAATTTAGGACAAGGCTGCAGGCGATTCTGAAGCCATGGTATTAGATGAACAGTTTCTCACAGCTTTAGGTTACGGTCTTCCACCAACTGCAGGTTGGGGTCTTGGTATTGATAGACTAACTATGTTCCTGACAAATACAAATAACATCAAGGAAGTCATTTTATTCCCTGCTATGAAACCTGAAGCCAACATTGCCGCATCCTTAAACCCAGTATCTGAAAAGCCACAAGATACTAAGCCTTCTGTTTCTGTTAATAGTCCTGTACCATTGGATTTGTCAAGCAACACTAAGAATTTACCAGATAATTCTGCTGTACTTTTGGAATGCAACAACGTATCACCTAAATCATCATCACCTCTTCCAACAAATGTATCTCCAGTACCAACTTCCAAATCACAGGATGTTTCAAGTCCAGAGACTGGTGAAACGCTACCTTCCAGTACAGGTAAGAGTGCTAAAAAGAAGAAAGGACGCCGATCGTAACCCTGAGAAACTTGTGACTTTTGGTGGAATATCTGAGATATACATCAGTGTGTGCTATAAATGCATTTCATAAGAATAACCTTTTGCTGTTACGTTTTGGTACAGATAAATGTTTAAGGGATTTTCTTGTCTTTTTTTTTCTGTCCGTCCAAAAAGATGACATTTTATATACGTTTATCTTTGTGATAAAATGCACGGCTGATCCTTGTCACATAAATGTACCATCACTGGCCAAACATTTACAACGCTGGTTTAAAGAATAAATTACTACTTGTAAAATCGATATTTAGCGTTTACTTTAGTTTAGTTTACTCTATCGCTTTCGTGCAGTATGTTATTGGTTTTCAAATAAGCGTTCAGTATTCTATATATCAATCTATGCTCATGTTGAGCATAGTGTCACTTAGTCAGTTACGACGTAGAACTTCGTACGTATGTACTTAAGTTCAGGTTGTCTTACCACATTAGCACACAGACGCAACTGTCAGTTCAAATCCCATAGTGGTAGACATAATAGAAGTATCAACGGTAATGGAAAAGATTAGGGTTCGAAGATATTGTTCAAGAAGTATAATTCATTGTAGTGTAGTGTAGTCTTATCACCAATGCTTTTGGAGGCAGACAAACAATATAATATGTGGTACTAATCTGTCGCAGGGTACTGTCCCGTAAAACTCAATCATTAACTCATTCACCAAGTACTTGGGACTCAGAAAATTATAAGCGTGAAGCTTGCAGTGCTATCCGCTTGCTCAAACTAAATTAGATAGGGTGGGATTCGGACCTGGTAATTAGTGGCTGAAAGTTAAACGCCTTAAAACTAAGTTTTCTTGAATGGATAGTTAGAATTAATAGGCAAAATATGAAAAACAAATTTAAGCTATTCATACTAATGGTGTAAGAAATGAGCATAGCAAATGTATCCAAAATGAAACGAATGTAATCAAGCGATGAGAGATATAAAATAATAAAATCGTTGTTCATTAAAATTATGAATTGGCAATTGTTAAACCACTATCAGAAACCTGGAAACACTAAACAACCGTTTCATCCTAATATGGGACTCGTCAGCAGTACACATCACGACCTCCGCTCGTCTTCGGTTTCGCGCGTGAACGCTTAACCTCCAGATCGCTGGGTCGACATCTACCTTCAATCAAACCAAGAAATTGTGCAACCTCATCCGTCGTCCTCGGTGAGTAACTGTTTCACCCGAGAGAGTTGAACTTCACCGGTCGCGGCTTCTCACTTCGATTCGTGTGTCGTGGACATTCACTGCTGATGAGTCTCCATACTAGGATGAAACGGTTTTTCAGTGGTTTCGGGTTCCTAACGGGGATCTAGCAATGATCGATTCATAATTTCAACGAAACTCAACAATTTCTACTCTCCGATGAAAATCGATATTGACAAGATGATGGATACGTTAATCCATCCTATTTATCAAAAATGATAGATTATGATTATCTCAGTGTCAAAAATAAGAAACTTCGACTGTCTCTAAACACAAGTCAGACCAACACTGATTGACTTATTTATGTTATGGTATGTTATGATTACATCTACTCTCTAAATTTCTTTAGAGCAAATCAGTTTGAGGCTTCTATGCAAAGATTGATGTATAATTACAGTTGTTAGCTTCGGTACAGCTTATTAAGAAGATTTTTGAAAGATGATGAATGATGTCATCTAATGAACTTAATTGTTATTATTTTTAATTTAAGACCAGTAGTCAAATTTCTATGATATATTCTGTATTTATCACTGATAAGAAAACAATCTGATGCAATTTTAATGAGCAACTAAACACTTACACGGTAGTCATATTGTATTACTGCTGGTCGAATTGTCTCATAAGAGATTCAGAATTAAAAATTCTATATCATAGCATCAGTTTAAATGGTAATTAACATTAATAACACCTAACTTTCTTCCAACCTATTCCTACACCACAAAACATCGCTCGTCGAGGCAGTTAGTAGTCGGTCATTTGTAACACATGTACCAACTACCTTAACTGATGAAGTTTCAATACTTCGTCTATTGCTTTGCCATCTTTATCTAGTACCCTTTTCTTAACAACTGCATTCCTTACTCGGTTTTCGCAAGATATACGAGCAATGCTTTGAAGACATTTAAGTTCGAAAACTAGTAACTTGCGAATATCTTCTACTCTGACTGGCCATGTTTCGCAGCCGCAAAGTAGGACGGAGAAAACTACTGAGCAGTACATGACCTATGGTTATCAAATGTAAATCTTGCCTGCACCATAAGTGACGTAAGTTGGCGAAACCCAATCGACCCTTCTGTATCCGTGCTGAGGTTTCGTCAGTCACCAGGCCGTCAGCACTGATGAGACTCCCGAGATAAGCGGAGCGGTCTACACGTTCAAATACTTGACTTCCTATTACTAGTTCAGTCCATTAGCTCTTACTCGACCTGTGTTGTTCGAGTGGAGAGCTTGTATAATGTTCATGTTTTTCTTCGGTACACGTTTTAATGACAGACACTGCCATAGAGCCTCACGATCGACTGAGTCAAATGCCGCCTTGAGGTCTAGGAGGACAACTATTGTCGAACGACTGTGTTCTAGGACCTGTCGTAGCGTGAAGACGTGGTCTATAAAGCGATATCCGTAACTGAAACTAGCCTAGTTTTCTTTAGTCTGCTCTTCACGAGCTCTGGTTAGGCGCCCGTGCATTAATTAGGCCAATATTTTCGATCCTATATTAGTTAAACTGATTCTTCTGTGATTGTCACAAGAAGACTTTTGTCCTTTGGGACAATTAGGGATTGAGACCAGTCAGATGGGATAACGTCCAGTTCCCAGATTCTGGCTAAGATCTCATTCAATCCAGCTGCTAAAACTGGACCACCATCCTTAAAAATCTCAGTGGTCAGTTTATTAGGACCTGCTGCTCTCCCTTCAAATTTCCTATCGCTTTCTCAAGTTTATAAACAGTCGGACGGCTTACGTCGATTTTCCATTCATATCGACTGGGGATCGTGGGCGATCGAAGTGTGGCTGAAGGCCAATCGAACTGATTGTTGAAGTGTTCTGCCCATCCATCCAATCTCCTGGATTGAGAATGAATAATAGGACCACCCTTTTCCGAGATAGTTTCGCTTACAGTCGGATTCGTAATACCGATTTCCTTGATGAGTTTGAATATTAGTCTATTGTTGCCTTTCCCATCTCTCTCACTTTCGTTACCCACCACTGTTCACAGTCATTGACGTGGGCTTTTATCAGCTTGCGCCTGAGCTGACTGTGCACCTCAGAGCCAGGCGGGATGAGCTTTCGAACATTCATCAGTTCGCTAGATGCTATTGAAATCCATGCATCTCCCTAACATTTGGTTTACCTTACTAGAAGATATCACTGCTTTTTCCACAGCTTTTTGATATCATTCCAGGCTGCCTCAGGGTGGGCATCACTTACTACATGGTCGCATAGCTACTTTCGTAGTTGTTCCTGAAATATATTATCAGCTTTATCATCATTAATTAGAGCCCAAGGAGTTTTCCTTGCGATATTTTTCCTACGTCCAGTGAGATGCAAATAAATACGCACTTGCACTAGAGCATGGTCTGAGTCTAAACAAGTGATCCAGAATCAGCGGCAGTCTTCAACAGAGCCTCTCCACCCATGGCTTATAGCGATATGATCTAGTTGGGTCCATCGCTGGGTCGACTTTGGGATCGTCTGGTCAAAAGGTGTTTTCCCTTATGCTTAAAGTTAGTGTTTGCCTGGGAATAGGCGGTTATCCGAGCATAGTTGCAGCTGACGGTCGCCATTATCTGTTCTCTGAGCCGCGACACCATAAGATCCACCCAGGTGTCTTTCCTTCTCACTTAGTCTACTCACTTGAGCATCAAAGTCACCAGCCATTATTACTACATCAGGGCGCCTAGCTTTTTGGAGGAGTTTCGGAAGCTTTCTGTAGAACTCGTCTTTCACGTCCTCTGAACTGCAGTCAGTGGGAGAGTAGGCAGATACGACGAAGAGGCAATGGCAAGTTTCCCTATCTTTACGAGTCCGTACCGTTATAAGATGATACTGTCATCTTAAATTTCACTGTCAATCGTTATATGAAATAAAATCAAAATTGTGTATTTTTGCTTTGAAATTTTCCGTTTAAAATTCGAACTACCCACAAAGGGTTGTAGATCAACAACGCTACCCAGAAAGTTATGAATGAAACCTATTAACACGTACTATATTTACTTATAAGTATAATAACAAATTACAATCAACTAAATTAGTGCAGATCATCCAACTAATGTTTTCACTGCTTTTTACAAACTAATTAGAAGGAATTTAATTGCAGTGTGGTGCTTCTCCATCATCAGTGACTAAATTTTAAATCATTTGCATTCCAAATAAATTTCTTTGATTATATCTATTAAAAGTTTGTCGATATCTAAAATATTTGAACTGCATGCTTGTTATCGATTGGTCAGAATAAACATTTTCAAAAATTTCGTCATCTCGTTTTTTATTGGTGCAAAATGTAGACGAATGTAAGTAGCTTCGTACTTCGCATATCAGTATGATTCATCAGTTAATCTGTATGAACTGTTAACTAGTCGATGTGAAATATGCAGGAAATGAAATCACAGATAATTGACCATCATAAAATAAGAAAACACTTACAATATCAAATGAACCAGAGTATACAACTAATTTAACAAATTATAATCAAGTCTCGTTCAGTTTATTTCTGACTTAACATCTAAGAATGCTTTTTACTTGATTATGTTGTATAATTTAGTGTAAAAAAGTGCGTCAACCTTTCTCGAAAGACAGATTTTGCGTTTTTAGAAACTGCTAATTGTCGTCAGCGATTGATTTAGCCGGTTTTCCTAATATCAATCTTTGAAAAAATATCCAATGTTATTTCTTGACACTCAATAATGCTAAACAATGTTCAATGATTTGAAGAAAATGGAAACTATAAATGTCCGACTTGATACTTCATTCAATCCAATCGATTTATAAGTACATTAGAAAAAGCTTGGAGGACTGTTATTAAACGAAACTGGTGTACACAAAATCAATAACCAATCACAAAATCATCGTAGAAAATGAATGTATCATTCATTCTGATTGATTTGCCAAGAGGATATATCATTTAATAAGACAGCGCACAACACTTAAGTACATGAATCAATATGAACTGGATAAGGCTTCAAGGCATACATGCATCAAAAGCTTGAAATATTCATATCTAGTCAAGCCACTTATTATCACTATCAATTCATTGGATTTATT